AATGTTGCTCTTAAGAGTAATGTGTTAATACTGCATCTCTATATGTGAACAGTATAACCAGACAATGTTTCTCATTAGAACTTAAAATAAGAGTGGATGTGGTGTGTGAGAGAACGTATTTAAAGAGAGACTGAGAACCTAAAACCATCTAATTAAACAACGAAAGTGAGAAGCTGCATGTAAACATAGATACGCTCATCTGTACCCGAGTGTCCGTCAGTCCTCCGATGCTCATCGCTCTGCTCTGTTGTTCCAGGCGGAACCATGAGCGTGATCCTGGACCTGCCCTATGTCTACTCCATCATCATCTCCTCAGTGGTGGCCATAGTCTACACACTGCTGGGGGGCCTCTACTCTGTGGCTTACACAGACGTCATCCAGCTGATCCTCATCTTCATCAGCCTGGTGCGTAACCGTCTACTGATATGGCGACGCAGGGGCTCCCGCTGAGAGATGAATATTATTCAAGCATGTATCCTATCAGGTTACTCGCTCTGCTGCATGAAAGAATATAGAAGGATAAGATTTCAATATAGAGTCAACAGGTATCTTATTAACAATGCAAACTGGTGCTATTAAACCAGGCTCTGGTTTCAGTAGCTTATTTGAAATTTCCATCACTCGGTTTTCAAAATGGCAGCCATCCAGATAAGCAAATAAGATTGTTGATGTTACAGCTGTCAACTGCTAAAAGGCTGCTATGTAGGCGCGTTCATGTACCACCGTTGGGAAGCCCCATGTTTGTCAAGGCTCTGTCTGCACGCTAAGACTCCACGTCACCCCCCCAAAAGTTGCTATTGTCTACCTTTGCAATGGTAGATCTCCACATTTGTTCCCAACGGCTACTTAAGGACAACCGGCAGCCCTCGTGGCACCGGCATGCTAGTTGTTAGTCGAGCAATTCTACAGCTGGAAATGAGCAAAAATTGACCTGACCTTTTGACCTTTTCCCTAAATGCTGATTAAGCTTAAAAGTTTAGAAACTGATGAGTAGGCTTCCATCACAAGCCATTTAATATCTGTTCTTTGATCTTAATATCACATAATCTTCTGCTGCCAGTGGGGTTTTCAGAGGTTACAGAATTTTCCATTTTACAAAGAACTTCCCGTCTGTCTTGACTTAAACGTTAAACCATTTAAGTCTGCAGACAGACAAGATTTTATGTGATTAAGATTGTCCAGAACAGCAAATGAATTGACTGTTTTTAGTTGACTGTATTTCACTCAGAATAAAAAACCCCGGGGGAATAAAATGAGTTGACGTTAAAGCCTCATTTCCTCAGTGTCTGATGAAAAATATCCCCTGCTGAGCTAATAATCAGATCATCTGTGTTCTTGCTTGTGTAAACAGTGGGTGTGCGTCCCTTTCATGATGACCAACCCTCACTCTGTGGACATCTCGCTGACGGCATACAACGCAACTTTCCAGGCTCCTTGGGTCGGCACCGTGGAGCTCGATGAGGCGGGCAAGTGGTTCGATGACTTCATGCTGCTGGTGAGCGTGAATGTTATAAAACTCATA